CTTTCCTTTCCTTTCCTTTCCTTTCCTTTCCTTTCCTTTCCTTTCCTCTTTTCTTTTCTTTTCTTTTCTTTTCTTTTCTTTTCTTTTCTTTTTTCTTTTCTGCTTTTTTTCCTTTTGAGCATCTGCTATGAACAAGGCACCACAGGAAGTGGTGGGGTATACAAAGAATGTCCTACATCACCTGTATTCTTAGACACCTGTATTCTTAGACACACCCTATGCTCACAACACTATAATCTAGCATGGAGTGTGATAAATGATAGTCATTCATTCGCCAGCTACTCATTGCCTACCGGCCACGTCCCAGGATTCAATGATGGGTAGAAGAGATATGCTCTCATGAAGCTTTCTGTCCGTGGAGGGAGGCAGGTATTAAGCAAAGAGTTATACAATTGGTTGATTATAATTAGGATATGTGCTGGCAAGGAAGAGTGGATGTGCGGCGAGAGCAAAGAAGCAGAGGTCCGACATTTGCTAGGGTGGGGGGATGGGGGTGTGGCAAGGGAAGCTTCCTAAGAAGAACACATTGATCCACTGAGTGGGATGACACATCCCAATGTCCCACTACCCCCCGCCCCAAGGAAACTGAGGTCCCTGCCTCATCACAATGAGGCCAAGCCCTCAGTAGACACTGAGGAAAGAGCGTGGATTAAAAAGGGCATGCGAGATGGGTTTTAATAACAGCAAGTTCAGTGACATTAGTCTGTGCATAGGCTTCATGTGAAGAAAACCCAAAGGTCACATGGCTGAGCTAGTGGTGGGTCACAACAGAGAGGTGTTCAAAGTTGGGCAGTGGGTGTAGAAGTGCCAAGAGCAGGGAGAGAGAAGGAGATACAGCCACGCGGAGAGGAGGGAGAGGGGGAGCGTGAGAGAGAGAAAGAGAGAGAGATACCTAACTGGGGGAACCAGGAGGAGGTGGCATTTAGGAGCCCAGAGAAGGGCCAGCTAGGATTCAGCCAATGGGGACGAACGGTGGGGAAGGCGGTGTTCCAGAAGGGATGGAGCAGCTCGAGCAAAAGCAGGGAGCAAGGGCGAAGGAGCGAGCAGGGTGGGTTTGGGGAAGAGAAATGCCCTTTTCTGGAGACTAGAATGTGCTGAGTCAAGGCGAGGGCCAAAGGTTTGGAGAGATGGAAGGAGACCCAGTGCAGATACCTCTGTGGGTGGAGGGGGAGCCATTAAGAGTATTTGGCCTGAGGAATCACATCCGAGCCCTATGCATTAGGAGGATTAATCTGCCAGGAGTGCACAAGATGGATGGACGGGGAGGGAGGAGGGATGGTAGCTGCTCCTTCTATGCCACTCCCAGTGTCTTCCTGGTCGACCCCTGGCAAACTGATCGATAAATGGAAGTTTTTTGGTTTAAAAAAATTTTTTAATGTTTTATTTTATGTTTGAGAGAGAGAAAGAGAGAGAGAGAGAGAGAGACAGCACGAGCAGGGGAGGGACAGAGAGAGAGGGAGACACAGAATCTGAAGACAGGCTCCAGGCCCTGAGCTAGCTGTGAGCACAGAGCCTGACGCGGGGCTCAGACCCACGAACCGCGAGATCATGACCTGAGCCGAAGTCAGATGTTTGACTGACTGAGCCACCCAGGTGCCCCTAAATGGAAGTTTGAACACAGTCCTCCGCCTACTTTCCAATGGAAAAAGGCTGATTAATTTTTGGCCCTAATCATGATTGCTTTCTTAAATTACCTGCCATGACTGATCCTTCACTGAAGTATAGAGAGGGTATATCCCTGCCCCTCAAACAGTTGATAAAATAATGGATGTTCGAGAACTACATATAGGATTAATTGAATTTCCTCTCTTCTTACTTTAGCTTTTGGGGGCCTGAAGTCCTTGGGAGCTGTTTTCATCCGCCAGGATGTCGAGGGGAAGTCCTCTCCTCTGCCCCTGCCTTCTCCACCTCTGATTATAGAGTCCTTCCAGTCTTGGCTGGCCAAGCCTTGGCATCCGTGCAGGGTCATGGCGGGAGGGGGCAACATCAGCCTCAGATGCAGGCTTTGATTAGGCGTCAGAAAGGCTCCAATCCTTCAATATCTGTGCCCAGCCTGCTGATGTGTCTGAAATTCCCCCTTAAGAGTCACTGATGTTTGGGCAATTCCAGAAATAACGCTGTACCCTTAACAGCTGCCCATGGGTGACGTCACAGGCAGCCAGAACAGCCTTCCTCTTCCCACATGCCACTGCACCAGGAAACTGCTTCTAGAGCTGCTCTCCCCCGCTGTCCATCAGACTCTGTAGCGGCATCTCTAACTGGACATATTCTGAGACTGCTTTTCGCCAGGCTTTTCCTCTTCACCCGGTCCTGTGCGCGCTGAATGCTTTCAACTATTTCTTGTCTCTTGGGCCTACTTTCTCCCAACTAAATCTTCCTAAAACCCGTAGCTGCAAGCAAGCACCACTTCACCCCTACCTCACCTTCGCACTCAACCCTTTTTCCAGAATCTTCGTCCGACCAGAGTCTGGGCCACCTGCTTGTCAGGGACAGAGGTTTGGATAGTTCAGGAAGTGCATCTTGCACATTAAAAACAAAGGTGGGGGGGCCCCTGGGTGGCTCGATCGGTTAAGCATCAGAGTCCTGATTTCGGCCGGGTCATGATCTCGCAGTGCGTGAGATCCAGACCCGCGTCGGGCTCCGTGCTGACAACTCAGAGCCTGCTTGGGATTCTCTCTCTCCCTCTGTCTCTGCCCCTCCCCAGATCGTGCTCTCTCTCTCAAAATAGACAAATACACACTTAAAAAAAGTAAATATTGTGTTCTCTCTACCACATTTTACCAGGAAGATGAACTTTTTTTAAATTTTTTAAATGTTTGTTTTATTTTTGAGAGATAGAGAGCACACACAAGCAGGGGATGGGCAGAGAGAGAGAGAGAGAGAGGGACAGAGGATCCAAAGCAGGCTCCGTGCTGACAGCAGAGGAGCCCAGCACAGGGCTCGTACCCGCGAACTGTGAGATCGTGACCTGAGCCAAAGTCGGGTGCTTAACCGACTGAGCCACGCAGGTGCCCGTTTTTTTTTTTTTTCCAATGTGTATTTATTTATTTTGAGAGAGAGTGAGAGAGTGAGGGGTGTGTGTGTGTGTGTGTGTGTGTGTGTGTGTGTGTGTATGAGGGAGGGGCAGAGAGAGAGGGAGAGAGAATCCCTAGCAGGATTCATGCTCTCAGCACGGAGCCAAACGCGGGAC